ACACACACACACACACACACACACACACACACACACACACACACACACACACACACACACATACATACACACTCATACATATACATGTAGAAATTAAGTTATTTCAGGTTATAATTTTGATAAATTTAAATATTTAATGAAATATATTTGATTACGTTATCTAAATTGCAAACCATTCACAATGAATGAATGGTTTCATGCCATTACATGAATGGTGACAGCTGATGACATTTTAGAGATTTGAGGAAGATTATTAAGATAGACACTATAACATAGTAAACAATTTTAAAATTATATATTTGTAATTCAACATAACAAGAGTAACCAATCAAGTTTTTTTCAAATGAATTTTAATTAATAATCAGTATTCTTAAAAGTATTTATGATAAAGATTAGAATATTGTTGCTTTTGGCATTCATGATGAATGCCAATTTATATTCAACTGATAAATGATAACATCATTTATCGATAAACCCAAAAAGTATTGTGTGATAGTATCAAATAAATGGTATAAAATGACAAAATAATTCTAACAAATGCTTTGTCTTTTTTTTTTCGAAATTGGATCTAAAAATCTTATCCAAATTTTTCTAGACGATTCGATAAAAAAGAAACGAATGAATAAATAAATAAATGAATAAACTTTGGCGAAAAATTTGATTATACCACTATTCCTCATTTTTAATGCAAATAAAAATTTTTTTTTCTGTACCCATGTTAGACATAATCAAATTTCTTTCATTTGTTTTCATGAAATTAACGGATGAATAGGAATATTGTATTACTTAAAATGTTGTTTTTTTATGACAATACTACTGTTACTACAATAACAACAACAACGATAATAACAAACAACAACAATAACAACAACAACAACAAACAACAGCAACAACAAACAACAAAGCAGCAACAAACAACAGCAACAACAACAACAACAACAACTGCAGCAACAGCAACAACAAGCAACAACAACAGCAACAAGCAACAACAACAAACAACAACAACAGCAGCAACAAACAACAGCAACAACAATAACAACAGCAATAAACAACAACAACAACAACAACTACCACTACTACTGCTGCCTCTTAATATATATCACTGGCTTTTGTAATGAGTTTAAAAGAAAGATTTCAAAAGGTATTAGATCATATCAAAGTACTATTTTCAAAAAAAGAAAAGATAATGCTAAACATATCTGCTCAACTATACTTTATTAATTTAAAAATTTTTAAACATATTTTTATGGGATAATTTGGTAATTTCGGTTAAAAAATATTAAAATTTAGTTTAATAAGAATAAGAAAATATATATGACATATAAAAACATTGAATTCATTTGACAGGCGCATTTATTAAAAAGCATTTGACATTTTTTGAAAGAATACGGAATATTTTAATGATACAGTGACATTTTATATGCATAAATATAACTTATATTAAAAGGAATTTTAGTATTTGATGGATTTTTTTGTCTTACCTATATCAAAGTAAATGTATGAATTGGAACAAATATGAATTGTTAGAATGGAATTATTGCTAGAATTACTAATAATTGGATAATTAATATTCGAATAAAAAAGTTTAATTTAAAAAAAAAAAAAGAAGGATGTTAATAGCAATTTTGTATGTGAATTTGTCTCGAAACATTATGCTAAGGACATTTGTTGTAAGTTTTACGCTTTCAAAAATTTTGCAAATTCCAATTTGTTTGATCCATTGTTGAAGAATTCTTTAGGGTATTGCACTTCAAACTATTTGTCCCACTCTGCCAACTTTACTTTAAATGCTTGCAAATTTTTGTTTTCTGATCTGTTCTTCTTCCTGATATGAGTAGAGGAAGAACGGTAGCTGTTAGGAAATATTGCTAA